ATGGTATATGAACGGAACAAATGCATCGACCGTCTGTTATAATGCAACGACAGTCCGATGTTACAATTCATCTGTACACGCGGACAATTCGATCGTCGACAAAAGCGACAAGGTGATCCATATTCGCCGCAGGGCTAGTACAGATCGTAAAAGCGTCGGGGAACAATTATCGGGAGGACCATAAATGGCTGTTTGATCTACCGCGGTTTAATCCGTGAGTTGATCGCATTAAGAAAACCGCTGTTAATCGCATTAAAGTGAGATGCTTCCAAATATGCATCGACTCATCCTCTCTGATAATCAGATATTAAGAGCGCGAGAGAGAATTAAAGACAGAGAGTTGATAATATGTTTAAAATATGTAATAAATACGGTAATATCCATTGTTGAAAATATTTGGAAAAGATAACGCATAGAAAATTAATTCTTTTCATTAGCGCGATCATATAGAGTATTATAGAGAGTTGAGAGCCAATATCGAGTTTAATTTGAAAATCGGCTGCTGGAATTACGTGGTTAAGCTCTCTCGCTGGATCCTTAAACAAAGTTCGGAAGAATCCGCTTTCAGGTATCGATATCGGGATATGCTTATCCTGCAAACTTATATCCTCCCCGATCTTTGAGCCATCTCGTTTGCATGGAGAGTTGGTAACAACGACAGCGAAGGCATGGAAATGAGAAACGTCATCATTTGCATCTTTAATCCTTTCGAAATGTTCGAAATCTTTCTCAGCACGGCGCGAGAATATCGTCTCGAAAGACTAAAATTATGCTCGATAAGAACATTTTCAATATAACATTAAAATATTTTTGCAGCAACAAACCGATTGCAGCGCGCATATAAATATTTTTCTGCGAAGCTGAAAGCGTAGTAAACTATTGCATAAATTTCCATCTGGCCTGTTTGAGTCCTGTCTGAAACATTCTGGCTCGGATTTCGCGTGGTGCGATGAACTTATCATTCTGACATTATGCGGTCGCGAAGACAACGATGAAATATCAAGTAAAAGACCGCGAATAAAAGTCTCGGGCGAAAACCGGACGGGCCTCGGCGGAGAGGCGACAGTGGATTACACAGCGCCGAAAATGCGCCCGCGGTTTCCGCAACCGCGCTACTGCGGTTCATGGTTAACAATAAATTGTAGCACATTTCGGCTGCCACCGTTACCTACTTATACTTAACCATTACATACGCGTGCACCATGGAATTATATTCCCCGGTCGGATATGGTGCAACTGTACAGCGCGGGAACGTAAAATAATATAACGCTGGCTGGCATTTCTAATTTCGTTGAACGCGCTAACGTTTCGCGCAAAACGCTCCGGGTCACTTAAACGGTAATGCACGTGGATGCGAACCGTATGCGAAAGGTCAAAGCGCGGTATTGTAACATCGCAATGTAATATTACCGGCATTATAACGTTAATATTGTAATATTGTAAAGAATATATGATATAATACGTTTTAGCATTGCAGCTGTTTTACATCAATGTTATGATTTATTGTTTCGTGTTTTGACGAATAAAACGTCATTAGTATCTCTTGCATGAATTATCGCAATAAATAATAAAAGCCATCCCCGCATTTTGGGATTTTGGGATTTACGTTCGTTAGTGACGCGGTATTTGCTCTCAAGAACTTTTCGCGAGATCGAGATACATGTGAACAGTTGCAGTCTTTCCTCGTGCGACATTTACTACGTGCCTAGATGTACTTTGTAGCTCGTTAGTCCGCGATGCGCCCTTTCAACTCTCCAGCATTTTTGCTACATGAGCCTTCGACGTTCTAACGCGCACAACGACATGACTGTGTGTGAGAGAGAGAGAGAGAGAGAGAGAGAGGGGGGGAGAAAGAGAGAAGAAAAAGGGAACAGGGAAAAGCTTTAAAAAAGTACAAAACGCCCCTAGAGCTTATCCACGTGTCGCTTGTCAGTGGTCCAATTTCGGAAAAGTCTGGCCGATTTAAACGTTCGATCTCACCGTCTTGCAATACGGTCAATTGTTTTCGTACGTCCCGAAAGTGTATCCCGAATACACAATGCTCGGCTTGACTGGAGAGATGCGCGACGCGAGCAGGCAAAATTCATCGGCATACGTGCACGGTTACCATAATGCTCTGAATGTAACTATATATGTACATTTCAATAGCATTGCCACCAATAAAATTCCTAACAATATTATTTATGGTCATACAGACTCGATATTAAATATAAAAAAGATAAAAAAAGAGGGAGAGAGAGACAACCTATTAAAATTTCTCTTTGAAAATCACTGCATTATAAATATTTGCATTATAAACTTTATGATGTACTCTAGTTTTCATATAGAATGTATAAAGAAAAAAATTATTTAAATAACAAAATGTGGGCTCTGAAAGTCGAAATGTACGCGAGTTGCGTTTCACTGTGTTAGTTAAGTGCTGTATAAGATTGATTCAAGCAGGAATAATCGCGTTTTGATTCTTAAAGTCCACTTTTTGTTATTTGTTGATTTTAATCTCGAGAGTTTTATTTGATCAGTTATTTATCTACCAGTTGTTTAAAAAAAAATGTAGGTTTGAAGAAAGCTCAGTGATATTTTCTGAATAAATTCAATTATTTTTTTAAATTAATTTATCTTATCTATTTATCCTTAATAAATTATCTTTTTTATTTATAAATAACCTAGTCAAGCAGCAAACACAAAAGAAGTCCTTCGACATGTTGACATCATTTAACAAACAATTAAAAATATTCTTTATGTTAAAAGAGGAATTGTTTGTTAAATATATTAGTCGCGCAATAATTGTAAAATCCAAAACATTGAGGTATTTCTGGTTGTTAATAAATTTTAAGGTAAAAAAAACCCGTTATACGTATTCATATCAAAATAATTATTTTCAATTCCCCCGAAGGTACAGCGAAGCAATTTTAATTGCGGATATTTTATAATGGCACCCCGGGGGCGTGAATGGTATTCGCTTTTATACATGAGTTCATCGCGCAATGTAAATAACGCTCCCGAATAATCCCGCGTGGGATCAATGAATCATCGGATTTATACAAATTCCGCGCCCGCATCATTTCGGTTGTATTATTATAATCTTACACGTAGCATTTAAAGCTTGTTATTTACGCCACAACTGTGATACAGGGATATAAGCATACAAAATATATAGTGACAAAAATGCATAATCTTTTCAATTTGTTGAAGTTAAGTATCGTAATCATAATTTGAATAATTGTGCCGATAACTTATGTAATATAAATTAATAATAAAAATTGTCAAATTTTAAAACGCAGTCTCTTCTTGTATGTATATGCGCGTTTCTAAATTTGTTTCATTAAATTTTACCCAGAGGTGTTGCAATTATTTATAAATACCGAAGTTCTCAGATGCATCGACGAATACAGATCTCGTGTGTACAAAATTACGAAAATCAGTGCTATGAAAACGTATGTTCGATACAAAAAGCGATTGATGAATTCACTCCTGACAAGGAAGAATGGGACTCATTTGTGGTGAGCGGTTCTCGATCTCAAAGTCAGAAGAAAAATGGATTTCTTGTACCTACCGCGAAGAATGGACATAAATGTAGATCCACCTGTACAAATGAAGACCCATTTCTCACTTGGCAGCCCTGTGATTTCGCCAATGACTTTTTACGATAACTCGACCGAAGTCTGCGATAACTAACTACAATGCGATATCAGGCGTTACATACCGTGCTACTCTAAAACCGATAAATCATACCTTGTACCCATTTTTGTAAAATATCGGCCCAACTTATAGCTGTCTCGAACGCTTTATCTCGGAAACATTTATAGGACCGACGTGGAGTATTGACGTGACTAATTTTTCGACGTGCTTTCGTATCGCAATAAACTTCTTACACCATGACGTTCTCATACGTCAAAGAAGATATTATAGATCCGAGAGGATCCAAAATTAAAAACATTAAATGAAAAAAAATGAAAAATTGATTTGTACGAGAATTTATGCATTTTGCTATCGTGACAAATTTCTATCTCGTTTATGATAAAAGAATTTTTATTTTACTCTTCGAAAATTCCAGCAAATCAACTTATTGACTTCGTAAATTACGCAATCTCGTATGATCAATATTTCATTTTTGCCTTATGACAGCTGTAAAGGTCTCAATTCTCGCGTATGCAACCCAATGTAATTTAAAGGGATGTATACGTTGTATTTTAACGCAAGCCCCCGACAAAGGGCTTTTTGCCGGGGATTTTAATCATCGCGTCGATGTGTCACAGATTTTTACCTAACAAATCGAAGCGTGCTATCATCCTTCCGCTAATCGATAAACATAATTATTCCACGTCAGTTTTGCGACATGAAAGTCCGGCGGAAACAAAGCTTTGTGGATCGAGACGTAGAGAGCGAGGAGGAAAAAGGAGCTACGGGAATCAGCAGCCCTCCAGCAATGAGCTATAGATCATAAGCCGCCGCGCGACGAAGATTGATTAATACAGATTCATTTGTTCGCTGACTTTTTCTTATTAACTCTCGCTAGTGGATCATAATGTGATTATTATTCCCGAGAAATTTTGGTACTTTTAATGAGCCGGTAGATTTGACAGAGAGATTATCCGACACGTACTGCTGAAGTTCACTAACAAGATCATTATAAAAGTCGTTAATACCCCGTGTTACCAGAGTAATTATTTTTACAACAGCAGGGATTAGATCAAGTCATTACTTACTCAAATTTCGCGCTAATAGGTCACCGAATATTACTAATACATTAAATGCTAAATCGGTAAACAAATGAATAAATCATTATTACAATTGTTATAATGAGCAAGTGCTGCGTAACAATTACACTGCATTGAAACATTCATCTTCACAATAATATAATAGCACAAGTAAAATGAACTTGTTGGAATTAAATACTCTCATCATTCGGTGTTAATACTTGACACTGAATAAAGTACACGAGATATGGCGAATTTCTGGGAAACGAAGTCACACATTCACGTATTAGCTATCGCTCTTACTTGATTTGGTGACCGCCTTTCGGCGGTCTTCCTCGGTCGGGGCCCTCCCTAGCGGTCCCCGAGTTGTGCTTTCCGGTCACCGAAATCCAGCGCTGTAACAGCTAGAAACCAGAGATCCACTGTTGTTAAGCTGCGGCTCCAACACGCGACGCGACGCGACATGACTGGCGCGAAGAAATTTTGGGAAATCACGAATTTCCGTCGCCACGTCCCACGTAAATCGTCATCGCGCGTTGTCATGTACGTATGATGCATGAGTGTGTCGTGTAAATTTAAGCGCACTGTCACGCGGGTGAAGCGGTCGACGTATAGGCATTCAACGGCTGGCGTTCGCGTCGTCGGTGAAAGTGAGCCGATCGTATTTTGGCCGCGTTACAGGACGACTGTCGCGTAGAACTTTGCGTGATTAGTGGTCGGAACGTTGCCAGGATCGAGGCGAGAAAAAAAAAGTCCAGATATCCAAGGGCTGACGGCGAGAGCTCTAATTAACGTAATGGCACCCCGAGGCGTCCGGTCTCCGCGAACGTCGCGAGTAGTGCGAGATCGCAGACTTCTATACGCTACTAGACTGCTACCTTCGAGCTGAAGAGCGAGGCAAGAGTCCCGTCATGTCTTGTTAGGTAAAAATCGGTGTGTCACATAGACATAATATATCTAGATCGAGCGTTTGCCTTTATTCGAGCTGTGGGGGTAGAGGTTTGCGTAGACGAGGACAAACTCTGTTTTGTGCTATTTCGTTCTCTCTTGTTCACACGCGAACGCGAGGGGACGAAATAGCACAAAACAAAGTTTGTCTTTTTCTACGTGAACCCCTACCCCCACTGGTCAATACTCGGTCTAGATATATTATGGTGTGTCACCGACAGACCGAAGGACACATACTATTTAATTTATCTAACAAGACGTGGAACTCTTGCCTCACTTCTCAGCCCGAAGGTAGCAGTCTAGTAGTACACAGAGGTCTGGGTGTGAGACACGTAATTTACGTTCCGCCCGCTCATATCCCGATGTTGCATCATCGCGGTAATAGCTCGCGGTCGTGCCGTCGCGAAACCGAATGAAATTTTTTTGCAATCCGATTAAAAAAGTGATTTCGGTTTCGAATGACGATAAACAGAGCACGGCGCGGGGTCGTGCGCAGTGAAAGCGGTCAACGTTGAAGCAGACACACCGGTGTCCCGCACATACGCGCTCACCGCTTTTGTATACAGCGCGATTGGCTGCGAAGCCAATTTTTAAATAAACGCACAGCCGGTATTTTTCCGGCGTAGCTTTTCGTAGTTCGTAATGAAAGCAACGTCATTTGTTGAGTCCCGCGATATTCGCTCGGAAATATTCATATCGCCGTTGTTTGTCGAATTATCTCTCCCGGTTCAGCCGCTCGATTTTCCGTACCGGACGATCATGAAATTGACGATTTTTATATTGGCCACCGTAAAGCGCACGTACCGAAGCGCGAAATTGTATTTATTTAAATTGTATTCGTCGCTGTTGCATGGAACTTGCATGATAAATCGTCTAACAGATTTCGAGTACAGGTGCACCATTTGACGAAGAATCGTCCAGAGCAGAGTCGATGACGAAATTGACAAAATTGATTTCATCGATTGAAAATTCCAGGATTTTTGCCCCCGTTAAACGATTGTCGTAGCCATTAAGTTTTATACGCTGTGATTCTTTTCCCTCGTTACTACAAGTGTTACTAAAACGAGTCACACTTTCCGAAAGTAACTCGGTTTCACGAGATTCGCGTTCGTTTCTTCCGTGTTTTCTGGACTAGAGCCAAGCGGAATCGTATGCTTGGGGAATCGTGCCGGTTATCGGCTAAATTAGATTCGTTAGCGAGAAAGAAAGAAGGCGAGACTGATAGCGCATTCCCCGCGGCGTGTCATGCGTTTCGAGCTTCGCCGCGTCGACATCTTTTTTTTTAATCACTTTTCCGCCCCGTCGTTCCTGCGGAGATGCCGCACGGTTTCCCAATTTATATCGGAGATCAGATGGCCGTTCGCGGCGCGGCCATGCGGCAAGAGACACGAGAGCACTATCATATGGCGGGGCGCGATACTGGCCGATGAATAAGGATGAATGGATCGCATCGTGGGAGAAAAGGCAGAAAATAGAACGGTGTATCGCGCGGAGGCTGATGAGGACCCTTTCTCCGTCGCGGCCGTCGGTAGATATACGACGGCGGAAAAACTATAGCGAGAACGAGGCGAGTAATTGGACACCGGGTGGCCATATTAGAGCACGCGGAGACAGACGGAGATGGAGAACGGGGAGAACGGGAAGAGCGAGAAGGGAAAGGATGGACCGAGAAAGTGGGAGAGAGGAAGAAAGACGAAAGAGAGATGAAGAAGGACGCGGAAAGCGAAACAGAAATGAGGTAGCGAATTCGGTACAGGGGCGGATGAGTCGAAGAGAAGATGATACGGCCAAGAGATGCAGAGCCGAGGTGAAGGGTGAATCTTTAAACGGCCAAAAGTATAGGGGTTGCAGATCGACCATCGTGTATGCGCAAAGGAGGCCAGAGAATCGCAATGAGAAGACGCGCGAGGTAAGAGAAGGTAGAGAAACGCGGTGACGACAGAAGGGAGAGAGAGAGAGAGAGAATATATACTAAAAGGTAGACGGCGAAATCGGTTAGAGAATATAAGTTAAAGGAGAAATGGGAGAAGAAGTAGAAATATATAGAACGCGGGAAAGTTGGGGAAGCCAAGTTAATAAGAACCTTCGGTCCTCTTCCCTTCCGAAGTAAACTGAATATATACGTAAGTGGAACAAACGTAAATTATGAAAAGGAAAGAAAAAGGTTGAGGGAGATGGAAAAATAGTTTGCTACAATAAAAGTCAAAGAAGTCGGTGTAACAATCAACGCAAATATTTTTGCCCCGCAAGTAATTGTTTCGCGAACGATATTTGTAGCGCCAAAAGAGAAATCAGAGAAAGGCAAACAAGGCGGAATATAATAATAATAATGAAAATGGAAAGGAGGCGGCTACTAACAAGTTGTAACGAAAAAGCACGGGTTCGGAACAAAATAATCAAAATGGAATGAAATGTTTAAGTGGACCGGTAAGGTAAAAGAAAGGGCGAAATGAAGGATCCTTTTGCGAGATAGCAAACGAGAGAGAGAGATAGAGAACACTTTGATGAGAAGCTGCAACCAGGTTGCAAAATTAGCAACCAGGAACGAAACTGCAAAGTCGGTGCTAACTAACGGCAAAGAGATCTTTAATAAAACCAGAATTCTAAAAATCGTAGAGGATTCGCGCAGAGAATTCGCATCGGGAATAGCGAGAAGGGCTAAAGTAAGATGTCCCAAGACAGGTTCGGGTTAAAGAAGATAAATGTATCAAAGAGCGAGAAGATAGGAGACGGGGAAGATAAGAATTGCACGAAAGAGTGCACGTCGAATCAAAGACAAGCGGGCGAGAAGCGAAATCAGCAGGACAGGAAGAAACGTGGCGAAAAATTCGAGCAAAGACAGATTCAATGGGCTACGGGGACCGAAGGAGTTTCGCGGTAACTTATTTACTTCGGGAAAGGCCGTAAAAGAGATCGAGAAGGATCAGCTTGGAGCAGAGATTGGACATAAAGGAACGGGTACGCGAATTCGGACGAGCGGTCCAACGTGCCATCGCCATCGTCGCGATCTAGCTAGCGTGTTCACGCGCGTGCGTGTGCGATACCGTTTTAGTATCCGAGCACACACCGGCGCGCACCGGTGTGCATTATCTAACACTTAAAATTAGACGGCGACGGCGACGGTAGCGACGACGTCGACGACGACGACGATGATGATGATGACGATAACGACGACGACGGTGGATAGTCTCTCTCTCTTTCGTGGCCCATAAGAGGAGGAAGAAGACCGGAACGAATGGAGATTTCCATTGGAGGCAATTCCCGTGGATTACATCGCGATGCGCCGACGATGCACTTGCACTTAATCGACGATATCACGTGGAACTTTTTCTCCGGCGACACTTTCTTTCCTTTTTACAGCACTACATATACGGCACGACGCGCCCTCGATCTTTTTCCCGTACGTTCCGCGGTCCTTTCTTCCCTCCCTCTACTTCTTCCGGCCTTACTTTCCGCCGTTTCGCTCTAAGTAGTGTGATGTTTATCGTATATGGTGTAGATGATGAGGTGGCCGATGACGAGGTTTACTCAGACGCACCGCATTCGTCCGGGCCGGCTGGCCGCCCGTCTCAGAGTGAATGTCTTATTAGTTATTTCTGGTTTAGCTACTTCCTCGCCGCTCTGTTCCTCCTCCTTCTTTTCTTGATCTTCTGCCCGAGCAGACTCTCCTTGCCCTCCCGCTTTGTCCCGCAACCATTTCGCGCTCCCACGTTCTCAACCATCGAACTCGATCTGCATCGCGCCATCAGCCGTGCAAGCTCGAAAGCTTACGTATACTTGTCGGCTCAGTGCTTGCGGCGGATTCCCGGTGTATTCTCGGTGAGATCAACGAAATCCGCCGTTGCGATCGTACGAGATTTCCTCGCAACCAAAACCCGAGGCTTCCCGATAATTCGTCATCGGTCTCATCGTTTTTCCATCGAATAAAAATTTTAAACATTGTTCTTGGATCGAGTTTTCAAGAAGAACTTCAGCATGGAAGAAAAATCAACTGTGAAAGAAATTCTATTTTATCTGTGAAACCTCTCAACGGAATTCTCGAGCGCAACTCGCTGACCATTTTGTAGAATAATACGATATTTTTTCTTTGCTCTCGGTACGGTTGTTTATCCCTGTTATCTTGTTGTTTATCCATTAACAAAAAATAAGACTCGCTGCGTCAATGTGGTTTCTGCGACTATCCTTCATTTCTATTTTCCAAAGGTCGAGCACATCGTCGAAAATACCTTGTGACGCGAACGTCCGAGATATAACGAAACGTTCGCCGATATTTTTTAAACTACTAGACGTCGACGAGGTATCCGGATAAATTCTGGTCCCGCGAGAGCTTGTCCTCGCGAGTGCTGAATATATCCCACGACGCTCCTCTTTAACCTTCCACGTACGAAGGGGCGAAGTTTACGACTGCGCGTGTAACTTCCTCTTCTTTTTGCCCTCCGGTTATTCCCAATTGTTGCTTTCACAACCCCTGAATTTTCTTTTCGCGTCCGAATAATACACGCGTACACGTGCTCGTTTCACTTGTATTTTATTACGAGTTATAAGAGCAGGGCAGATATGTCGGTTAGATACGCAGCGCTTGGGGAATTTTCTTGTAAAGGAAACCGATCTGGTGCCCATAACATTAAACTTTATCGCGCGATAAGACTGTTCATTTTATGGGAATTAAAAAGATTTCGCATATTCCTTCGGGAAAAAGCAAGCCTTAAATTTCTAAACAAACTGTAATATAAATTCTCGTAAACATTTCCATTTCTGTTTTCCGCTTTTAGCGCGGCATAACGTTGTGTAACGTAATATAAAATTACTAAATTGCGTTACGCACAAATACCGGGTGTTATTCGTTCTAAAGTTGTAAAAACGAAAACAATGCTACGTAAAAGTCCGTTAATTTGCTGTAACTGGTTTTATTTATAATACGTTAAACGATTTTCCATTTCCATGTAGAAGTATTTTTTAAGAAGAAAAAAAACAGAAAGGACTAAGTATTGATCAGCATCTACATTATAATTTATATCAGTGAACTTTCAAAATCAAGCAATTTCAAATAAAACTACATTTATTTGTATTCGTTCAACTCTTGTGTAAAGTGAGATTGAGATGTGCCTGTGGATAGTTTACTCCGGCAAGTAAAATCGCGCTTGCAAGTTGAACATAAACGGAAATGTTACACTGCATTACACTGATTAACTCGTAAGGTATCATGTTCAGGCGAATAAAAGAATAATTCTTTCTGTGTTCGCGCATCGGGGCCACTTCCTCTTCCAAATACGGATGATGTGTTAAAAGAGGTCTCGTTAAAAAAAAGTATGTGACCCGTTACCGAGCCCGGAGAGAACGGGAGACTTTAAAAGATGACAAAGTGGATGCCGGCGCGTTACGTACGGGCTGCAGGTTGCTCGACGTAACGACCCTTACATCCCCATTTATGGCTTCCTATCCTTTCAAAAGACCGGCGATAATAAATGATAGCGAGAGTAGAACATGGAATTCCTCCAGAGAGAGAGAGAGAGAGAGAGAGAGAGAGAGAGAGAGAGGGCGGAGAAAGAGAGAAGAAAAACGGTGACTCTTTATATAGTTTGCACCGATGGGTAATTACGCGCGGAGAATTACTTTACGGATCGTTATGTGTGGCCAATAAAGACGCACCATTTGCGAAAAGCGTCGGTCCGACGAAGCGGATCGCTGAACTTTTGCGACACGAGTGAAATTGTGTTTATTATTCCACAGGTTATCTCCGTTAGGTCCTATTTCGCGGAATCTACAACCCGAGTCAAAAATTTGGTGCTATTTTGACACTTTTAAGGATAATTTACACCTACTTAGCTGATCTATACACCTACGTAGACTAGCAATAACCTACTTTGATAATATTTTATTTTTTATTCCTCCCTACCATCCATAATTTCAGATACATAATTGTAATTGCAAGTGATGTACAATAATTGCCGATGGATACAAAAGATATTGTCAAAATATCGTCAAGAAAGATTGCAACATAATTTAATAATTGCAACTAATTGCAATTGTAATAAAGTTTTTTCTATAAATAAAACTTGTTAATAAAACATACAAGATAATTTCTCGGCAGTGTAATTTAAACAGTATGTATATTAAATTTTATAATTATATGTTCATGTGCGTTAATTACGTATGAATTTAATTATCATTGATTTACATATGCTTATTTCTCCTCCTTAAAATTATTTCTGTTATTTTCGCGAATTTACTTGTTACGTAATATTGCACTAGTCCAATTTCATGTAACAAATAATTCCTCTCAGCCAACAATTATAGTAACTTGACGATAAATCTTCTACTCAAGCAATAACTCTTCTAACTAAACGGTACCAATAATCCTCTCTATCCTCTAAGTAGTAATAACCGAGTCTGGCATGACGGGCTCGATGCCGCGCCAGATTGTCACGCGATATGGTTCTCTTCCATTGTCACTGACACTCGGTGACTTCCTCAGTGTCTTCCCGTTACACCGCTCTTTCGTCCCCGATGTATTGCGCCGAGGGGCTCACAGAATTAAACGAAAGATCATATTGTGGCTGCAATAAAGCGGAACGGTGTTTCTTCTTCCACAAAATACAACGCGCGCAGGGTTTGTAAATTCACGCCTCTTTGCCTCGTATCGCGTGCATATAAATCTGCATCCTGCATTCTTATATAGAAACGAACGTGTGTGGAATACTTTACTCTCGTCTTGGCCAGTAAGATTAACCCAGAAACTCCACTTCCGCTTTAAGTGGATTCCAAACCAGCGGCCCAGACGGCGGTAGCATAGATATCTCTTGGAAAAATCAAAGACGACAGCTGGGATTCGAATCTTGGCCCGTTTAATTGAATTCCGGAACTTGATGCGGCACACGAGTCGGCCCAGGAATTACCGGATTACTCGTCAATGACAAATTCCTTAGGAAAATTCAAGGCGAAATATTTGATAGATCTTTATACACGGAATCTCAAAAAGAGAATTTATCTCGTGAGGTAAAAACTGATTTACGTAATTGATTTTCGGCACGACGATTTATTGTGTCAGAAGTTTTATTGATACGCAACATCGGTGCACAATAACGTCTGCGTAAAATTACTCTAAATGCAATTGCAAAGAAATTTCAGGATCGTTCGCGAAAATTCCATTATTCATCTCGATACCGCTCCGGCTTGTAAAATATTTTTGTGAAGGAGGAATACAAATCGGAAGAGGCGGACAAATGAAGCGAGACAACAGAGGAGAAATGAGAATTCACGGCATGCAACATTGTGCCGCCGCAACGCCGCGAGAGAACCTTATCGCGAAAGCGCAATGGCGATTTATCTGTTTGCCAAGAGGATCCAGTTTGCTCATCAGGACATATTCTACGACGCGTTTGTTTCATGCGCGTGTGTACGTGTGTACAAGGGCGTGCACGCGTTACTTGCATTCGTACCTACATATCCGCAAGCGAAACTGCATTGGGGGGATTTTTCTTTTTACGTTGCGGCTGTAAAAGTTCCACGATAGCGGCAATACCATTTTCCATGAGACACGCTCGACTTCCTTGCCTGTATAATGCATCGAACGCGCAATGCCGTTGAGCGTTGTTGCGCAAGCGAAATCCTGTACTCAGTCACTCGATCAAATGAATTCGTTCTCTTTCTGAAATGCATTGGCATTCTCGCGGCGGACTTCTGTTTAATACGGTTTGGCTGTTCGTCTTGTAATCTCAGGCTGCCGCGAATTGGCACGAACGAAACGAAACTTCGGCTCGTATATCAAAGATGAAGCGAGAAACGCGGGTCAACAATGCTGTTGACGCAGTCGTTTAAATGACGGAAAGGAGAAAATCCGATCCAAACATTTTACGTGTACCTTATTTGTAAGTTCGCCAATAATTAGCGGATAAGGCATTTGGATCTTCACATTTAGATATTTTTATCGTATAAACCTTTACATAGAGTTAGAGAGAATTTGCGATATTAAATGTATATTATACCAGACATCGACAGGCTTGTCAGAAATAATCTTTGGAAGATTTTGGCGAAGTTACTGTTTACTGACGATATTAATATCTTTCACGTGATCATTTAATCTATTCGACGACAGCGGCCTTGGGAGAATACCTGCGGGACAATTTCTCGGTGTTTTGCAAGTGAAATTTATACAGTATTCAACATCAATCTTGATGAAATTTCGTCAGCTCGAACATCGATCGGAGTGAAAAATACGCTGAGGTCGCAACGAAGTCACACGCGAAACGAAATTGTCGTTCTAACTTTGAACGATATATATGTATATATATATATATATATATATATATATAAACGTGTATTAAACTCTGTTGCCGTTTGATCATCTAAAATAGCTTCAATTTTTGCAATCATTTTTTATATAAAAATATATTGGTATTCGTTATCAATTACAAGTAATAATTTATGCTAATTTAAACCTAGCAATATATTATAATTACTTTTGTCGCGAGATAACTGTATCTTTGATATGGCAATCTTTGTATTATTGACGCCAAGTTACGCTCCGTGTATGTTTAATTCACCTCCGCTTTGATATAAAATTCTAAAATTATATTGCACCAATCGTTAACGAAACGTCCCTTCTTTTTGCAATTTTTAAACTCTCTCGTTTGAGTGA